GGGATGGCACTGCTGCATGTGGCTGGTCATCCCTGCCTCTGGGCTTCTGCCGCCTGCACTGCAGCTCTGCTTTTCCCACGGACCCTTTCTGGCCTCGGGACAGTGGGATGACCCTGTTCCTGCTGTACCCCTCCAGGTCTCTGTGACCCTCCTGCTTCTCACTCTCTCTCCTCCATTTCTGACCACATGCAAAACTGTCCTGCTCTGGGTGATGTTGTAAAGGCAACATTTTTTTAACTTTTTGCCAGAGCCCAAAGCACTGGGGGAAAAAAAAAAAAAAAAAGAAGGAACAGAAGCTAATTAATGCATTAATCACCCATCATCCTCGTAAGTCCTTCAAGGTACTGAAGCTGAGCAGGCAAGCTGTAGACAGAAATGGAGCTGGCTGTGAACAAATTGTTGGGGAACGTGCTGACCTGGTGTGGTCCAAAGGAGCCAAGTTGCTCAGGTTTTCAGACGCTGGCAGAAACCATCCTGCACAGAGTGTCCTGTCCCAGATGTCTGCTGGGATGCACTGACCCTCAGCACGTCCCTGCAGGAGCCCCATTCGTGACACACAGCAGGGGCCTGGTGCTGGGTCAATGCTGCTGGCTCCCTGCAGGATGCTCTCCTGCCGTGTTCGTGCAGTGGGCAGCTCCCAGCCCTGCCCAGTGCCCTGTTGGGAGGAGGCAATTCTGGGACAATTAAGTGAAGCCCCTGACTCTCAGGGTACCGTCAGCATTGTGGCCACAACAGCTCCTTTCTTTCCAAGATCTCAGGTCCCTGTACCTTGTTTATCACCACAGTAGTAGCTCCTGTCTTGAGGCAACAGAAGTACCTACAAATCGACATGCTGTCTTGTATTACTAGGAGATGTTTTTCTCAACACACACATACTGATGCTTGGCTTACCATCTTGCTTCTGAGACCCAGAGCCCCTTGCTTTAGCCCAGACCACAGCCAAGGAAGATGACCCTGCTCTTGGAAGTTGCAAATTGAGACCTGTAGGTTGTCATCAAAGTCTGGGTGAAATTTTTTCTCTCAGGATGTATGCCTTTGCAGAATGCTAGTTTTTGGAAAGTGTTCTTTATACTTTTGCTGCTCAGTAAAGCAAAAGCATAATTAATGTTGTAGATTTGTCTACTCTATAAGTTTAACTTCTGCTGATTTTAGTTAGCCAATTCTCTTTTAGAGGGTTTGCATTTCCAGATTCACCGTGTGTCTTCTTTCTCCAGCTGCTCGTCACTCCAATCTTCTGTTCTTTGCCTCCGTGCTGGCCCTGCTAGCCCCTCTTCTTGCTCTGGACATTGAAAACCTGGAAAGATTGAAAGTAAATTTAGATGAGATCATTAATCTCCATTCAGATGACCCCCATCCTGGTATGTGTTTTCTCTCTTACATCCTTAAACTCTGTTCATCCAAACATCAGGAGCCCTCTCCTCTGTGCAGAGAGGGATGTGTGGCAAATAATGTTGGGGAAGGGCAGTCACACTCAGAAATAAAAGGAACCTGATCAAATCTTACTCCAGTTGCAGATCTTAACCAAACATCGTAAGATTTGGTATTTCAACCTTCTTTGTTATTGACAAGACTGTATGTGGCAGCTCTTTCTAGAGCACTGCAGATATTCAAAGGAAGACCTTTTCTCTTGCTATCTGTAGTCCACCTGTAGTCCTGAAACTTCAGAGAAATTTTGCATAAGTGACCAACCAAAATGCTTTCTGAAGCTTGCACATGGCTAAATGATATAAAAAACTCGTCACACCACTGATAGAGGTCACAGCACTGGAGTGTCTTGGGGAATGCTATCTTACAAATATGGGTGGTGTGATTTCTCTTTAAAGAGAGAATTGCTGTCTTATATGCTTTGAGCTCTTTTTCCTCTCTGACAGCTCTTCTGAAGCTCTTTATGAGTTGAACGAACACAAGAATCCCGTCAGTCACCACTGAGAAGCAATGCAGATTTACAGCACCATCACTCAACAGTTTAATCTTGGTCTGAAACCACACACAGTCTGTTTCCTTCTTGATCCTTCTTCTCTAGCAGTATCTCCTTGTACTCATCACCACCACTCAGAGTCCACTCCATGCAACTCTGTAAAGCCATAAAACTGAATGGACCGAATAGGCAGCCGCTCAGTGACGCGAGTGTGACCCTTCCTAGTATCTTATCCCTTTAAAGAGTTTACAATCAAAACCTACCATATAGGAAGAAAAATGAGCTCAGTGGCATTGTTGAAGTGCCCTACAAAACACTTAGTGCTGGAGATAACAGCCTGTGGAGGCTGGAGTTACCCCTGTGCTGCGGCACAGGGCTGCTCGTCTCACTTTTTTGTTTTTTTCCCAATGCAGATGAAGATGGAGAGAACACGCAGCAGAGGAAAGACAGTGATCGTCAGCAGATGGAGCGCAGCAGTAAGTGCCCCCGCCACCCCGCAGGGAACAGGGAGAGGTGTAGGCAACAAGGGTCCAAGAGTGATGGGTGAGCAACCAGCCGGGGGATAACCTGACTCAGCGCCTGGGGGCAAGAAGATGTGCTCCTCCACACCACGTTCCAGGGCCACTCAGACATAGAATCATAGAATCATAGAATCACTGAATCATAGAATCATAGAATAAGGAAAAGACCTTTAAGATTATCAAGTCCAACCATCAACCCAACACCACCATGTCTACTAAACCATGTCCCAAAGTGCCTCGTTACTAGTGATAGCTTCACACTGAACTGTGCCTGACAAGATCCCCAAGGATGTTGCAACCATTACGTACATGCCACAAATCCTCTTCTCTGCTGTGGAGCTCTGCACAGGGCAAGCAGAGGATGTGCCCCCCCAAGCAATGCTTGCTGGGGTTTCACAGCTGGCCACAGGGTCCAATGAGGTTTTCCCCTTCCTGGCCGCAGGGATGCAGTGAATTCCAGGGCTGCAGGAACAGCTCAGTTGCTCATTTACGCTTCTGCATAACTATATAATAAGAGTCCTCATCAAGCCAAGCTTGTATCATTATAAGGGAGGAAAAGATCTGAACATTGGGAAAGGCTGAGGAAGAAAGAGCCTGAGCCAGAAGCAGCAGCAAATTCTATGTTTATACCTTCAAAATATATGCCTGTTCTCACTGTATTTCCCTTACAGAGGTTTTCTGCTTTTACACTTACAGTAGGAAGCACAGCAGTAGACTTTTTACTGCCCTGGCAAAATCCCACATCTGCCTGTTTTCTAGAAATCCCTCTCACAGGGCCAGACAAGCAGACCAGGGGGTTGCTGTGCCTGTTGGTCCTCTATGTTCTCTCCTGCCCCAGGTTTGCCCAAGGACTGCAGCGAGGTCTCCGCTGGCAGCCCCAGCGGCATCTACGTCATCCAGCCCACCGGGCTGCACCCCATCGTGGTGTACTGCGAAATGAACGTGACGGACGGGGGCTGGACGGTCATCCAGAGGAACCGGCAGAGCACGGAGATCACCTGGGCCGAGTCCTGGAGCACCTACAAGTACGGCTTTGGGAACGTGCACACTGAGTACTGGCTGGGCACTGAGTACATCCATCAGATCTCCAGGCAGAAGGTCTACCAGGTCAGGTTTGTCGTCTGTGATGCTGCAAACAACACCAAATTTGCAGACTACAACCTCTTCAGTGTGGAAGATGAGTCCCAGGGCTACCGGCTGAGGCTGGGAGCGTACTCGGGGACAGCGGAGGATGCCATGGCCTCAAACAGTGCTTCTACCGTGCACGACAACATGAAGTTCTCCGCCAAAGATCTGGATCAGGACACTTACAGCGGGAACTGTGCCTCCAGCTACGGGGGCGGGTGGTGGTACTCGGCATGTTATGCTGTACGGCTCACCGTCAGGGGGGCCATAAGGTGGGGCAGCCTGTGCAATGGGAACTGCAAAGCCTCTGCCATCCTCATCAAACCTGCTCCCTACTGCTAGTTGCATTTTTGTTTCCTTTCTGTCCAGCCTGAGGCTAATTCTGGCTCTGCAAAGAGAAGGAAAAAGGGAAAACCTGTCATGGCCAAACCTGGTGTCCTTGGGGGGTCTCTGCTGAGGTTGGTCATACCCTAGCTACTGAAGAAACTCGGGCATCTCCCACTTCTTCTCCCTCCTGTAGATTCCTTCTGCTCCTCAACTGTGCCTTTATCCTTTTTGTTCAGATCATTTTAATTATGTTAATAATCAGAACGGTATCTTGCAAAATCTGGAGTTTCCAGATCTGTTGTGTCCTCCAGATAAAATGTGAAACGGCCGAACACTGGTGGATCTATATGGCTGTATAAGTTAATTTACATCCTTAACTTCAGGCAAACTACCTAATTTTCACTTGCTGAAGATCTTGCTCAAGATATTAATGCGCACAGTCAAATTCCCGCTCTGTACCTTCTGCATTTCAGTTTAATAGTTGTTAAATATTAAAATAAATCTATATTCAAAACACTGTCTCAATTGTAAAAGCCTATTTCAAATCTTTGAAGTGCTTACAGAGGTTAATGTGGTAGAAGGTTTCCACCACTGAAGCTCAGGTTTCCTGCAGGACAGACATTGGGGGCATAAATAAAACTTGAAATACTGCATGCAGACTTCTGCCTTTGCACACAGTAGTTTTGTGTAAGCATAGCAAATGTCAAAATGTTTTCACTTTTCTCAGCAAAGGTGCATTTTGGGTTTTGTTGTCCATGTAACTGGCATCCCTAAGCACCCTGGGGGGCTCATCTCCTGAGCCAGGGCCACGATGACTTCCAAGAGTTGACAGCATGGATGGAAGGCACCGTCCTGCCTTTGCTGTTTTGAAACTGAAAAGAGATTTCAAACTGCCATAAAATTTCCATGTGGAAAGATGTCCCGTGTCCTTCGATCCATCCTTCTGGCAGCCACAGGATGCTCCTCACAGGCGGGGAATCGTGCTGCTCTACCAGCCAGTGTGGTGGTTTGCAGGCAGGCACTGCTGCGCTTCCCGCAGGGTGACTTCCACAGCCACGAGCGGCAGGTGGGGGAAGCAGGATGAGTCCGTTGGTGCCCTCATGTTCCCCTGGCAGGAGGATGTGACCTGGAAGGCCTCAAGCCCAAGGTGAGGAAGGGAGGCAGCCTGCCCTCAAAAACATCCGCATGATCCCTTGTTCCTGTGCCCGGACTTGCTAACAGCACCCCCAACACACTGCCTGGGCGTTCCAAGAGCTGAAGCACATGAAAGACTGCAGGCCCAACACAGTCGGGCTTAACAAAGAAAGGCTGCAGGCTTAGCACAGTTAATAACTAACATGTCCCAGGAAAGGTGATATATGTGAGGTGTTTTATGTCTTCAGGGATTTTAAGACTGTGCTGAGAGGTCTCGTTTGTGGAGGAAGGACTCAGATCTGAACCAGCAGGAAAGAGCAAAGGGAGGGAAGACCTCAGAAGAGCTCTGGCACGGGTATCAGCAGGTAAGCGAACAGACAGCATTTGCATTGATTTATGTCAGGACTCAACATTACAGCTCAGAAGATGCAGAAGTGTTCAAACAGGATGTATCGTCTCTGCCAGGGTCAAACCTATGGACACACCAGTTCCATCACTGACCATCAACTCATCAATGCAAAACAACGTTTCCCACAAAAATTTACATTTTTCTTGAAAGGATCAATATGTTCCCTTCTTTGAGAGAAGAAGTATGTCAGCAGATGCCATCCATTTCAGCTTCCAGCCACTGTGCTAAAAATGCCTACAATGTGAATTTTAGAGTGGCTTTGGCTCAGTGAGATGAGAGCTGCCTTCCTCATAAATGGAGAAAGACAGGCTAGCAAATAAAAATTGGTGAAAACAAATCTTTTATTATCTTTTTATGCTTGTGGGGGATTTTTTTTTTTACACTATGGTTTTATGGGCTCTGTGTGTCTGCCTTTTGAAGTGGTATTTCTCTCCCTGCCTCCTACCACCTCCTGTTCAACCCCCTTTGCAGTGAGTCATGAGGTGCATGACAGGCAAGAGGAGGCAGCTGCCAGCTCAGAACGAAGACAGTACTCAGTGTAGGAGATAATAACTTCAATAAAATGTTCTCAGCTGTCAAACTTGGGAATTTCTTGTTGCATTTAGAAGTCTTTTTTTGGCTAACTCTCTTGCCTTGAGATAGATGTGGAGATACATGATTAAAGTGACCCTCCCCTGCAGGGTCCCATGGATATGCACCCACCATGCACCGCTGATATGGTGGAAGGCAGCAGAGAGGCAGCAGCACCCACCTGCGCTGCGTTCCCATCAGCATGTTCCCCTTCCACAACAGGAGGGAGGATACCATTGGGTATCCCATCCTCCTGGTGAGTGTCCTTAGCTAAATGCGGAAAAGTCTCTTTTGCGCCATGCCCTCTTGTTATCCCTAAACACTGTGACTTCTATCAAGTGATAACTTGCTTTTTCTACAAACTCTAGGGCTGCTGTGTGCCCAAACATCTCTTCTGCTCTCTCCAGAGAGGCCCAGATGGTTTGTCCCCTAGTATCAGAGACGTGGTGTGGCAGAGACGTGGTCTAGGCAAGCAAGCTAGCACCCACCACCATCACGGAATGGACTTAAAATGCAAATGCAATGTGAAAATATGTGATTTGAGAACTGTAGAGACGCATTGCTTACATTTCTCCTGGTCCCCAGAGGGTGCTCTTGCCCCAGGGTTTGCCAGGCAGCTTCCAGAGCGAAGGAAGTGCGGCAGGCAAGGAGAGGCCAGAAATATTGCCTGAGGCTGCAATTTTCTCTTCCATGCTTGTTGTTCTGTCCTACTGCTGCAAGGAGCGCTGACAGCCCGTCAGCACAGGCTGAGCACAGGGGAGAGCGTGAGCAAGGCCGTCTGAGGAAGAAAGCACCAAGAATCTCGTTTTGCGGATATACAGCAGAAAAATTCTTTCCAGGCAGAGGGAATACAATCACCTTTCTCTGAACTAGGGTTTCCCAACCTTTTCCAAAGGATTTAATTATTTGGGAGAAGAAACTGATATTCTACCTTCCCCCAAAAGCTTTCGCTACTTTCCCTTAGCTGTCCCCTTGTGATCTGACCCACTTCCACTCGCCGCTCGCACTTCCCCTCCCTGTGAGCACACTCTCTGCCCTGGTTCCTCCCACGTCACATCAGGTGATGCCTGTGGCAAGACTGGCTCTCGGAGGAGCAGATGCCGATGCTCTGTGCCCTGCGTCTGCCTGCCATAGTGCTCTTGCACACAGGGACTCCATCCCCGGGGTCTTGGGCTTGTGGGAATACTCAGCCTCCTGCCGCGGCTGCCTCAGTTCTCTTTGTGCCTGTCTGCCTGCTGGGGAACAGGGCTGTGTTTCCAGTTCCCCAAATTCACCTTTTGTGGGTTGTCTCTCTCCTCCATTTCGCAGCATCCTGGTGAAATCCTGCCCAGATGAATAAACGCAGCTCCATGGGCACTCGCGCGCCCAGGGCAAGCCAAGGCTGGCCCCATTCACGGGCAGAGGAAGCAGAGAAGTGATGCATGGTTGGCATGATATGGCAGCACCGCCACAACTGGGACTGTCACAGCTGTGACAAGTGGCAGTGCCCCCCCAGCTGTCCTCGCTCGCAGAGCAGAGAGCGCTTCCAGCAGCAGAGACAGAAACAAGGCCAGGTCCCCATGGTGAGTCACGCATCTTCAGATTTTAAGAGCAAAAGCCACCAGTGATTCTGACAAAGCCATTCTCTTTTGCCTGCTACTTCTCATTAACGCCATATTTCACTTTCACTGCTTGTAATTACAAGCACTCTGTTTCTATCAGGAATACTGTGCTTTATCTGGACTCTATAGTGTGCATTTCCCAGGCAGTCCCCGGAGCCCTTTCTGGTAATGTGCAAAGATCATTTGAGGTCACCTTCTCACATATGTGCTACTTGGCCACACCAAAGGAGAGCTTGCCTTGGCACCTGAACCCTTCCGTCACTTTGGAGTGTGTCCTAAGATTAAAACCTTAAATCTGACCCCCATAGCACAGTGCTGAGCCAACAGGCTGCAGTCTAGGAGCAAAGCACCAGTACCTCCTGCTTCCACCTCCTCCAACCTCTACTAATTGAGCTCTGGGACGATAATGGCTTCTGGGATAGTTCTTGGCATTTTCTTGATTACAGAAAATCCTAATGAACAAGTAGCAACAGCCACGCTGTATCTGGTTCTGAGCCATTTAGGGGGGTGTGGTTTCTGCCACAGCAATCTGGAGATCCAGCCTTTCCAAACGAACGTGTTCACAACAAGATTGCAGATGACCATACCATCATGACACTGGAACTTGCCATCATCACTCAGGGGTCCTCAGCCTCCGAGGTGAGACTGCATCTCAGCAACACCTTTGTTGGGATTTCTCTCCTGCCATCACCTGTGGCCTCATGTAGCAGCACCAAGGAGGGCTTAGGTGTTCCCAGAAACGAAGGGATGGCCATGCCAGCTCCTGGTGAAGAGCCTCAGCTCCAGCGGGAAGTGGGTACAGTGAGCCCACGACAAGAGATTTCAGTCTCTTCCTCCATTGTTCAACTGCTGTGATGAAGAAAAGCCAGTGACCCCATGGGAAATCTGGCAAGACCACCAGCATGGCACCATCTCCTTCACCCACCCCTGCAAAGCGAGAACCACTGCAGGCACTGCTGGTTGGACTGTAACCAGGTTTTATGTGCCAGCATCCTGCAGTTCAATCCTTTAACATTAATCCAGTCCTCTCTGTGGGCTACCATTTTAGTGGAGACTACCTACAGAAATTTCATCTGCTTCCTGATGGAAAATGGGGGCCTCGGAATTGTCTTCTAGGAAATGTGGTGAGCTTGCACAAGCAGGGATGGCAAGGTTCAGGAACACAGACCCTAGGCTATCTTCTGCTGCTATTATATTCAGAGGGGAGCGGGTTGCTGGCAGGGACGGGCAGCACTACAGCAGTCAAAGCAGGAGATGGAGGAGTGCCTTGCTGCTTGTCCCAGGCATCCAGCTCTCTTCAG